ATCAACTTTACTTATTCATTTTTTAATGCTCTTTATTGAGCAATGTGAAAACCATATGAATAATTAGGAGACAGTCAAGTACCTGTACAGTTGTTTGATTATTGAGGGCTAAATTTCCAATTCAGTATCATTAAAGGCAGATATGAATTACTATAGAAATGCATTGTATTCACCAAAATAAAAAAGGGAAGATATAAAAAAATGTGTATGAAAAGCATCAAAGGCTTTGAAAACATATTTTATCAATCAGCTTCTCTCTATGAGTGATGGGATTGTGTTTGGATCAGGTTTGGTTATTTTACATGAGAGATTTACATATTTTCTCTGTGCTCTTCTCCCTGGTTGGTTGAGCCTCTGGTGATGCCACATACTTCCATGCATCAATCAGGATTCAACAACATTTGAATCAGAATGTATTGATTTGTGAGTGTTCAACTCTTAATAATAATAATAATAATAATAATAATAATACCTAAAGCCATATATACCCTAGCATGTGGTCTCACAACTGTATCCAGTCATTGTGGTCAATTTGAGTGATTTCAGGGGCTTTAAAATAATTTTGAATCTACTGTCAATGGTTGTGTTTAAACCACAAAATGGCACCATTGTCTGTGAGACAAATGACTGTGGAGCTTCACAGGTGATTCTCCACCTCCTGCAGCTGGTGATTTTTTTGGGTTTTATTAGAGCTCATGCATTGGCCAGGAATAGAACCCAGGTCAACTGCTTGGGAAGCAGCCATGCTCACCACTATACCACCAATGCCTTGAGAGCACTGTATCCTCCATGACCCCAAGATGTGGTCTCACAACTGTATCCAGTCATTGTGGTCAATTTCAGTGATACATTGTCCAGGTTTCAGTGGGATTAAAGACAGTTTTGTCCATAATATATTTATTCAGAATACAGCTTTTCTATCTATATTTTCAGTGTAAACCAATAGAGTTGTTGCTGTACATACTGACCTCTGTATCTGAGCTATTTTAAGGTATTATTGTACATCTATAATCAGTGGTGCTGCAAAGAATTAAACTGTCTCTTCTCCATATTTACAATGTATCTGATGAAAACTATCTCAGTACATTTACTCTGGTTCTGCATATTATATATATTTTTTTACAATAATACAAGCACTGGAAAACAGAAATACATTGAATAAGATGTTCCTTTATTGACCCCTGTAGGAGAAAT